CTCAGGTGCCGTCGCAGCTTAAGGAGGCATTGCAGGAATACATTAATCAACACATTCAAGGAGTGCATTAATCAACACTGCCACGTCGGCTGGCATGCCCCATTGTTTAACCGTGCATGCTAACCAACACGAAGCAGCAATATAAATGTGAATTTCCAGCATGTTGCAAGAAAAAAAAAGCCTTTTCAGTACCAGCCCCATGCACCATATTCTACTTGACTCTGAATAGAAATTATTCTCTCCTATATTTGTGTTGGTTTACGGACTTGCTTTCTGCAACAGTCAACCAGAAACAAAGACGCTTTGCAGACCAGTTAAGTTTGATAAAAGCTGTAGAAACGTCTTCTGCAGATACAAAAACTTGAATCCTTCCAAGAGATTTTTTTCTTTGCCTTACAAAATGAATGTGGTCGTGAAAGGCAAAATAAAACAAAACAAAGCAAAAGCAAAAAAAAAAAGCCCCAGCATCTATTTGTGTATGCAGTCAGATGTGACAGCAACATACTGCAGGACCAGCAGGGGCCTGAGCGGGGCCTCCTGCTCCACACTGGGCTTCATTTTCCTCCTGGGTAGTTCCCTAGATAACTCTCCTGTCAGGATTTGACTCTCTCCAAAATCAGCCAGGGATGAAATGTCCAGATGCTGGAAGGAAAGGGTCCGATAAGGCACATCCAGCATTTAGGCACCTATCTCTGCCTTTGTGTACACAAAGTTATGCTCACCTGCACCTTTAAGGCTGCCCGGTACCATCAACACACAGAGAATCTCACTCAGTTGGTGATGGTGCACAAAGTTCAATGAATATTGATTTTGTCATGAGGATGCTGAACATAAAGAATATAATTCTGAATGATTAAGGGATGCCATTTATAATTGTCATTTTGAGTAAGGTTCCTCTGGGCACAGAGTTATTTCAGTAGAGATTGAACTTGCTGGGAACAAGGGGGACAGGGCAGTGGCTCCCCGCTCTGTGGCACACTTCTAGCCATTTCAGTAAGCTCTCACATTAAAGTCCATGGCCCATAGATCTAGCCTTATCATCACCAGCTCTAATTCTGGTGACCTTAGAAAACACTTAAAACTAGAAGCCAAAAGAGCAGCAGGGAAAACAAATTGGATCCAGTAAGCATCTCTAAAGAGCTATTTGCAAAGGTCACCACACCAACCACTGGGGTATAAATGCTAAGTCGCTACACATTTCCAGCTCAAGAGTGACTCAGGCAATTTTCTCCTTTCAATTCCAAAGCAGACGTTTCTCTCCCTGGACCGCAGTGGGAGGAGAGGGGAGGAGGGCATGAAAGCTGCAGGAATCCACCTCCTGACCACTGGCACTAATTGTTGCTGCCACAAAAACATAATACCACCTTTGTCACCTTCCCCTCACCTCGCACAACCTCCCATTTTCCCCGCCTCCCGAGAGGGAAGGCTGACGTCTTCCTTCAGATACCCCTCAACCGCCGACTCTAAGCCCTCAGAGACAGCTACCACGCTGAGCAGCCTGGAGCAGTGGGTGGGGATGGGGGGGTTTCCAGAGAAAAATGCTTGTGTCCCCTAAGAACTGCAAGGACAGGAAGCAAGGGGCGGAAAGGACTTAATCATTAAAGGCATCTTGATCATGGAATGCCATAAGATCTCAGAGATAACTCATGGGAAGTGTATTATAATTCAATCTTCCTACACAAACTGTACGTGAGACTTATTGTGCTTTCATCTGACCCCAGGTCACCAGGCTTTACTTAGACTCCACATAGAAGTGGAAAGCTGGGCAGTACAGCGGGTGGAAGAACAGAACGTTCATCCTTCATTCAGCTTCCAGCAATTTGGTGGTGAGCATGACAGTGCCGCAGTGGAGGGACTGTCCAAGTGTGTGAAGGTTTGCAGAGAGGGAGTCCCTGCGGTGAGGTCTGGAGTCTTCCCTCATCATATGTCAGGGTCAAGCGGGAGTAAGTTAGTAAGTACAAGAAAAGATTGTTTTGGTTTTCTAGCTGACTAAATACCTAATCCATTTTAATTGGTATAAAGCAATAAAGAGGTGAATGTCCATGGCCTTAGATTTAGATCTTGGTTTCTGTAAGTTAGGGCTTCCCAGGGTGACTGTTTTCATTCATGAGCTTCTCCTCTCTAGTTTCATGAGATGAGTCTTCCTTGTGGGTGATATGTGTCCCCTGTGTTTGTCAGGTAGCAGGAGATAAAACTTCCCAGCTTTAAAATGACCCTGTAGGACAAAACTTTGATAGATCTTTTTACTCTTAAATAGTATCGAAAACAGTAGCCCCGTTTGGGCTTTGTAATCAAATGCTGACTCACGTTTATAAATCAACAATTATAAGACAGTCTTTTTACTGTTATTAGTCTTACTATTATCAGACCATAATTATCCTTCTCCTAAGATGTAAGCATTTAAAAATTCTAAAAAGGTAGTACTATGCATCCCAGGGGAAAAGAGACTTTCAAATCATCAACCAAAACCAATTCTTAACTAAGTCCAATAACCTGCCAGATTTTTCTTTCAATACAGCTTTTGCCAAATGGAAACACACATTAAGCGGCAACAGGGGAATGATTTCTTCTTCAGACTCATTATGGTTACCACCAGGGCCAAACTCACACAGATACAGCCATAGCAGAAGACCAGTCCCACACAGGACATCAGGGCAGGCCCCTCCTTCCTCCAGCCACTTACTGAAATTCCACATTAGCTGTCCTGCATTTTAGCTTATGGGTTTCAAGCCAGGTCAAAGGCAGGTTTTCCTTGGAGAGAATTTGCACATTAGTTGTTAATGATGAGTGTGCACACAGGGTTTATATGAGGCTGGACATCGACAGAGGTAGGGCTCTCCAGAGAGAAGGACGTAGGGGTAGGAATGGGGGCTAGCAAACCACAGTTCTGGCTGCTCACATCTTTCAGATACCACAGCGCCCTGGTGAACGTGGGAAAGACTACTGAAAACCCGAAATAGCTACAAAAAAAGTTCTTATTCTGATGTCAGGCTGAATTCTTGAATAGCCTGGGGACATTCTGAATACAAGTGCGCTTCAGAATTTCGGGAAGTTTCAGGGAGTCTTTGTGAAGCAAGGCAAAGAGCTGGGGAGGGCACTCAGTATTTAGTTTTGATCAGATTAAATCATTCACAAAGATAAAATAAGATATTTTAGTGGCTCTCATAATGCCTGACAGCTCAAAGTTCCCTTACTCATTTAATAAAAGACTAGCCGGAAAGGTCAATGAGAAGAATGTATCGAGAAAGACAGAACTGAAACTTTGCGCTTGTTGCTCTAGAAGAAGGAGGTTTTAAGTCAAATAACTCATGTAATAAATGAAAGAGAAAATAATGCACCAGCCAGGAAAACTCCTTAGAAACCACCTGCAGGTGCCCTGGGGAGGGGGAAAGTGCCTGTCATGGAGTCCCATCGCAGCCACCTTAAAGGGCACCATGGGGTCTTCTCGCTCATTCCCCTTTTCCCTAGAAGCCACCATCACAAATTACAAATAAGCTCCTGGTCTTGCTGTCCTTCTACCTCTCCTAGGTATCACACTATATATTATCTAGAGAAGAACTTGCCAGAATTTACTGCTGATTACTAGTGCTTTATTGAAGCCACTTTGCTTCACATCATTTACTACTAATTCCTAACAATTGTGATTTGGGACAGACCTCCATGTCCCCATCAGAATGGATGGCTCTTACTCTTATACTGCTTTCCCTTGCAGGTGGTCCTTATTACATGAAATATGGACATCTGTTGGGGAGGCATGCCCAGGTATATCAAAACTAAGAGAGCTTTCCATTTAAAGAGCCATTTATATAAAATTAAGCATCGTTTGGTAATGGTATTACCCATCATCACCACCTCAGCACTTTTGCAAGTCTTTCGTAATTTCACCTTTGAAGAACTCTACAGCCAGAACAAAATGTGTGCTATTTGATTTACAAAGCAATGTTCTTAGTTTCCAGGCTACTGATTTGGGAATTTCTGGTGGTATTTTGAAACACCTGGAGAACTACCTAGTCATATGAAATCAATTTCAATACAACGCAATGGGAGCAACTTCTACAGAGGCACAGATCATTTCCTCTTAAATACAAAACAACATATGAATGGAGCAATTGAAGAATTCTCAAAGATAAGGAACAACATGCTTGGGGGATTTTAGTACCTCAAAATCTTGCATACAATCTTCTTTTCTTAATTTAACATTCATGAGAGTTTCTTGTTCAATGAAACCTATGAGGTAGAGGACTAAATGTCCAAACAATCATGCTCTCATAAATTCCTTAAGAAAGCCATTATTGGTTGAGATTCAGTTCTCTGAACTATGTTCCAGATCTCCAAGTAAGATATTCTTCATCAAGTTCAATGCTATAATAGATGGCTTTTCAGAAGGCATCAGAGGCCTGGCAGAGCCTGTTCTAGAGCTGATAATTCTAAATGACATAAATGGAAATGGGGTGGGTGGTAGGGGTGGGAAATGAGGGGTGGGGAATGGATTCACAAAGCAGAAAGCACATATTAAAGTCATATATAAGCTTTCCAAGCCTATGTTTGTATTATTTAAACTTCACTGTGAGATCATGTACAAATAGTATATTCTTGGGAGATTTTCAATATACCAGAGAATCAAAAAGAAAACTTTTAAAAATAAATGATTCCTTATCATTTTAAATCTTTAATCCCTCCAAAAAATATTGTTTACTAGTAATGCTTTTATTGTGCTGACTGTTTTCTGAACTTTATGATACATGACTTAGTAAAACAAAAATCTTTTTACTATGAAAGGACATAGAAGAGCCGGTTGTCTTCTGTATGTATTTGATCCATCCTCCTGGCAAGCAGTATGATTAATGTTTTTGCATCTATATTCCTGCTCTCTGTATTTATCATGCTCCCTGGATTGAAAGTATTAAATATGGCAATGATATTACATAATGACATCATTTTATGGTGTAATTCCCTTCTGTACTACCTAATTTAAACCTTTTAAGAAGACACACTCCTACCTTTGAAGAAGGTCCTCTTCTCTGAATAAGTTTTCTTCCTTTTATTTCTTTAAACCAAAAGTCTTCTTAGCATTGCTCTGTGGGTTGAAGAGTGGGGGGAAATATTAACAAGACATTGGTCTCCAGTCACAGCAGATTCTCAGTACATTAACTCCAACTGAATTCCTGATGGGAGACACAATGACAGGGGGAGCCCTGCAAGGAAAGACAAATTATGAGAGATTTGCCAAAACACATCTCTGCTGGTTTCAATCAAAACTGACAGCAGAGTGGTGACGAAAACTCTGGTGGCCATGTTTCAATGGAGCCCAAAAGAGAGTCATGTGTGTTTCCTCTTTGAAGCTTAGAGGAACAGAGGGTTGTGTAGTGCACGTATACAGGGTGGCTAACATACTTCCTTGCTGGGGGATTATTATTATTTTAAAATTTGATATAGGAGAGTAGGGATTCTTTTGACTATGTTTGAAAGGCCCTAGGTTTTCAGTGAGGGCCCTAAGGAGATGACAGGAGCAGCCAGCAGCGCGGGCCCTGCAGAGCTGTGATAAAGGCTCAGCTGTGGACAGCTCCAGGGTCTGATCATCGCCAGTGCTCGGCTCCTCGGCCTCAATGTCTCCTTTGCAATATTCCAGCTGAGAATCAGCCAGAAAAGGACAGCGCGGACAGGGAGAACAATTGCAGCTGAACACATCAGGTTTTGTTTTTTTAGAAACCAATTCAGTTTTCTAAGGGAGGGTTTGTGGCTTTTTGGATTTTGGCTTTTGGAAACAGAAGTGACACTGTCAACCTCTGAAAAACCTTTCAGGGAAGAGAAACAAGTGTCAATTCAGGAACCCCTGGCTGCACTCAAATATTGAGACAACTGTGAATCGCCAGATGATTCCATTAATAAAATAAAAAGATGTTTAATCATCTCACATGTTTTAGCTTCTGCATTCATTATAAAATGTTTTCTGTACTTAATTGCAAAAAGGTTGATCTTAATTATATGTAAAGTCATTCTTAATAGAGTTTCATGGGATCTGATGCAATGATATTTTACCAGGGCAATGGCAATGTTGTGGAGGTCCGTGAATCTTCCTTGTAATTAAAACCAATTTTAGAGTATCCCAGTTTCTCTCCTTGTCATTTAGTCTCCATTAAAAAAAAAAAAAACTCTCTAGAGGTGTGTGGGAAAGAGTCTACAAGAATTTTTTTTTTTTTTTGAGAGGGCATCTCTCAAGTCTACAAGAATTTGAAGCTATGTCTACAATAACAAGTCAATCTAACAAACATATTGAACATTTAATACGTATCTGTCAATACTTTGGGTAAATGTAAATAAGGAAAAAAGAATAAAATGTAAATAACATGTTTCCTGACATAAGGGATCGCAGTCCAACACTGATGGGAAAAACAGAACCACCACCAACTGCCATAAAATGCAGCCTTTACAGCAATCTGAGACCACAGAGGAAGAAACAATTGATTTTACAGGGGGGCCTCAAGAAAGGCTTTCCACAGGAGATAACACATGAGGGACTGTAAAAATGGGTAAGAAGGGCATCCTGAATAGAGGGGATCACAGCCCCAGTGATGATGGGAAGTAAGGAGAAGGGCAGAGGGGGGAGGCTACAGAGGTCACTGGGAATCAGAGTGCAAGGGCTTTGTCCACCAACCGGTTTATGAGTCTAGACTTGAACTTGAGAACAAAGGGAACATATTGAAGGTTTTAGGCAAGAGGAAAGAACACTGTCAGTAGTGTGGTGACTGAGGGTGGAGACTGGAGAGGATGACTGTTTAGGGGGGCTTGGCTTCTGGGGTAACCCCTCTGTCCTTCCTAAGCCCACCCACAGCAAGCATACATTTGACTCCTACCCAAGTTGAATCAGGATTCACAGATGGAACACTGGTTTTTACCAAAAAACATGACATCTGATATTATTCCACATCTTTTATTTTATTAATGGAATAATTTTATGATTTTTCATTGTCCTAATATGCGAGTGTACCTTTATAGCTAGAACTTGACTAGGTCAGCACAAGGATGTGGTCTGTTTTTCTCCCCTCCACCTAGCCATCTCTCTACCTCCCACCATCTCCTCCCCAGGGCAGCTCGGCTCTGCTTCTGGCAAAACGCAGGACCTGAGACAGGTGAGTCAGCCCAGCACCACACCTGACCCTCGGGAAACCCCTCCCTCTGTGTCCTTCTTTCCTCTTACTGGATGTGGGCCTTGGGTCAGTCTCTGTCTTCACAGTGCAGTGTTAATGTCTGACACGGGTTTGGGCCTTCAGGAATCAGACCCTGCCTAATGGACTACTGGGCTTCCAGGTCAGTCAAGGGCAAAGAAACTGTCACCTCTTCCAGCCCAGTGTAAGTTCCAGTGAGGCTCTGCATTGGACCTCAAGACCAGCAGATAATAATACACTTTTACTTTGTCCTGCTTTGTCTATGTCCCCCCTGCAAGTATCTCCTTTGGGGACCTCACAGGCAGAGCAGAATGTAAGCATTTGTGGGTCCCCTGGCCAAAACATACCACATTCCTTCCTCTGCAAACAATCATGGTAAGGTGGATATGCATCTCCAAAGGGCAGCCTGTTCCTTCCTTCTGAAAGTCTGTTCTACAACACATTTTTGTGTACAGAAAAATCAACAGAAACTCAGAGAGTGCTTTAGCTTCCTGACCCAGTCCCTTCAGGGGAATCTTCACTGTTTGGCCCCTGGTTGTGTCTGAAGTAACCACACCATATTGCTTGTGAGGCTACTCTGAAAACCTCTGTCACAGATAACTGGAGGCTGCAGCCCAATACTGGACGTGAATCAGTTAAAGATGCATGTCAATAAAACTAAGTTTACTGTAATTTTTACTTGGCAGAGACAAGAGAACTAACATTTCATGGGTTCCTACTATGTCCCAGGCCCTGTGTATATATTGCAGGTGACCCTCCAATTCTAGAAGGATCATTATCTGAGACAGGCAGAAATGAAGCACGGAGAGGTTAGGTAGATGACCCTAGACACACAGCTTGAAAGGAATACACCCGGAATACAACACCGCTTCTGTCTGAATCCAAACCTTGTGCCTTTCCTGCTTTACCCTATGGCTCTTGAGAGAAGACAGGATAAACTTGGAGAGGGGGTGCTACTGAGCTCTAAGGAGGGATAGCAGAAGAGGAAACTGGCAGACAGAGTGGTTAGGCTGAGAGGAAGGCTTGGAGGACGCCAAGAAATGAGAGCGCTAGGAAGTGTTGGGGGTGGCCCATGGAGTCAAAATCCCCAGGAAGGACGCACATTCGGGTAACTTAGCAGCTGTCAGTGGGAAGTCCCTGCAGTCCTGAGCTGGTACTACTCACCTCCCCATGGTCTACGAGTCCAGTTCTCAGGCCACCTACTCCACTGCCAGTTCTATGCCCCTCTGCCAACTGTGCTTCTTATTAATGATGTTCCACAAAGGGGTAGGTATGAGAATACAACTGGATATGGTATAGAATATGTTTTTGAACATAAATTTTAAGGAAGAGTATAAGGAATGTGGTTCTTTCGATAAGTTTGAATCATTTTTAGTATAGTTCAATTCAGGGCAAAATGGCCGGAAAAGGACACATAGATAATTTTGTAGCAGTGTGATTTCCCACAGGCATTATGTGGGAAAATTACTTCCTCCTTGCTTATGTGTATTATTGATAGGGCACTGCCTCATTTTCAACCTCCCTGTGATTATTTAAACCCTAAAGCCTTTGCAAAGACCACCAAAACACTATGTATTAATTGTATTACTATGTCAGCAATTATGCCAAATATTTCTAGGGAGTGAATTTTTGTTACATTCATTACTCTTGCTTTGATGACTGTGTTAATGGGCTTTCATCACTCTAAAATACATTTCGGTGGACAGAATAGGGTAATACATCATTGGGAAGGATTATTTTTCCAATAACAAAGTAACAATTTTATTTTTCTTTAAACCAAAATACAATCAATCTATCCTATTAAATAAAAACCAGTCCTAAGTCAAAAGGTCAAGATGAGATGTGATGTAATTTAAAAGTAGCCTTCAGAAAAGATGAATAACACCTAGGTGAAAGATGTAAGAAACCCAAAGGCCACAGTACACACAACAAACCAGTTACCATAAAAGTAATTCAATGAGCAGAAGTATAACATGTAAAAAAATCAGTCACTCAAGAAAGTGAATACTTGCCTTAGCCACTCAGAGAAAAATAAAATAATGACCTTCCTGACAATTCAAAAGCAAATGGAATGATTGATTTGCATGACTTTTTTGCAGGACTTTTTTGTTGTTTTATTCTGTTCATTTTAAAATGAGAATCCTCAGATTCAATGTAATTGAAAACCTGTGACTGGCAACACTATTAGGTAAAAAAATATCAGCAAGCAAAAATGCTCAAAATCTTACAGGTTTATATTCTCTGGCATAACTGTGAGGACATTAAAACTGCTTACTCTTTGGTGTCTGTAAGGTTGATTTAGAAAAACTGGCCTTAATGAGCATATATCAAAGGGTAGAGTACATTAAAATATCAAGCATCTGACCCCTCAAACCAATTCTGTTTTTGACTGTGACAATTATTTCCTATTTACATTCTTAAAAAATCAGTATGGCCAAGAAATCCTTTTTAGAACATCAATTTTGAAACTCTTACATGTAATGATATATTTATATACCTGCACTCTTACGTGTAAGATGCAAAACTGTTTTGTGCTTTTATCACTTTTAAATGATAATACTTTCCATACTGATTTTTAATTTCTGCTCCTAACAAAACTTCACCAGTATCAAAATCATGGACTAACCCCAAACTCTTATTTTTTTCTTAACTTCCTGCCTTTGACATGATCCTTGGACTAAATTTGGGGCCCATTCATGCTTATTAACTGGAGACAAAAGGATAAACAAACAGCCTTATTAAAATTGGCATTTATCTTTGGTTTCTCTGGGGTATGCCTGTCATCCTGCAGCCTAATTCCACTTGGCATGGCAAAAAGGCAAAAATCATCTTGAAACCCAGTTCTCGTCATTTCAGCAGCCTATGAAACAAAATACATTCCAAAAAGCAGAGTGAAGCGGATTGAACTAGT